GCATTTTCAAATGTTTGAAAAGATGAGAAACACAAGGAGGGGTCCCAAAGAAGTCCCATATTGGACAACCACGCGTGACAGATCGTGCGTCTGATAGAAGCATTGTACGAGCCTCCAAATTCAACCCGCGAATGACGGCACCGGCGATCCAGCGCGAAGTTTTTTCCAATTCTCCATCGCCCGTTTCGGTATCAACAATCAAACGCCGTTTATCAGTGGCAGAATGGTTCGGAAGAAGACCAGTCAAGAAACCGTTCATTTTGGAGAAGAATAGACGACGCCAGGTCGAGTGGGATAAGCAACATCTGAATCGGACGCGATTTGACTGGAATGGTTTTATTTGGTCGGATGAAAGCTCGTTGGAAGTGACGGAATTCAATGGGATTTCAATTCCTGTAGGTTCTCGATACAATCCCAAGTATCAAACTCCTACCGAAAAGCACGGGGGAGGCAATTGCATGATTGGGGGTGCCTTTTCCGGAAAAGGCAGTGACCCCCTTCACCATGTGAAAACAATCATGGATCGCTTCGTCTATAAGGAGATCCTGGAGAAGCAGATGTTGCCGCATTTTAAGTCAATGGGTCATGGTTGTGTTTACCAACAGGACAACGACCCAAAGCACACTTCCAAATTTGTGAAATTAGGAAAATTCGCTTTTTTTCTCAAATATTCATCAATTGAGGATTGGTTCGCAAGTCAGCACATCAAGGTTATAGACTGGCAAAGTCAATCCCCGGACCTCAATCCCATCGAGCACTTGTGGGAAGAGTTTTAGAGAAGAGTGGCAAGCAGAACCGCCACAAATTCGAACGAAAAGTTCCGACAATCGGAAGAAGAATGGAAAAAGATTCCACACTCGATCATAGACAACTTGATCGACTCCATGCCTCGCAGGTGCCAGGTGGTTATTGACTCCCGAGGCTTAACAATCAAGTACTAACCTTATAATTTTAGTTTCCAATGATTTTGTGTTGATAAACTATCTTTCCGGTAAAAAAAAACCGACTTAAATTGCATATCCAAAAAAATGTGTTTTTACGGATTTCTGAAAAAATGGCCTAAAATCCTTATTTGGTAAGCACGAATCATGTCTAATAGCTCATTATATCGGCAATTGCGTAAGAAACAATCGGAAAAAAAGTTCGTGGAAAAAAGTTTGGTTTCAAAAAAGTTATGCCCAAAAAACCAAAAGTTTCCAACCTTTTGAGCGGTACTGTTATCGATCGTGTTATATTTACGACAAGAATGAATGAAGAAATAGTTATACTGTTGTTTATAAAGCAAATCTGCATGTTAGCAGCAAAAAAATCACTGAAACAATTTGAAATTGTAGATTTTGTGCTGTAAACATCGCTATTTTCAGGCAACAATTTTAGCGACATTTTTTTTCATTACACTGCAACTGTGCTACAGACGAAAAATGGTGAAAAGGTGGATGAAAAATAGATTACTCGGAAAAGTAGATAAAAACTAGGAGAAAAATGGGCGAAAAATAGATTATCTCAAAAATTGGTGAAAAATATACGATAAATGGATGACAAATAGATGAAAAATTGGGAAAAAATAGATAGAAGATAATGATAAGAAATAGACACTGAAAGGGTGAAAAATAGATGGAATTGTGCAGTTGATCGTAATGTGAATGCAGATGGCGCCATGTTAATCACAATTTTTTTAAAAATCAATTTTGGAAATGCCTAAAACTCTTCGCCATCGATTACCCAAAGAAGGTCTCAAATTGAGGAAAGGTAGGTTTGTTTCGTATATTAATATTGCTGATTGTTTATTATTTTAAGATCAAATTGCTGGTTCGCGATGCATGCCGACCAAACGTGTGGTCTTTGCTCGAAAAAACGCCCGGCTTTCACTTCGAAACAAATCGTCGAACAACGAAAATAATGAAAATGATGCATCAACAACATCCTTTCTCATGAGAGAACGATCTGAAAGCGAAATTGAAGAATTCTCCGAAGTAGTCGGGCCGTCATGCGTACCGAATTACCCCGCACATGATCGTGTATCGGAATTGGCCGATGAACTATTATTGTGCATGTATAGTTCGGTACTCGGAAAAGATACAGAAAATGGTAAAACTAATACTTTTCCAAAGACAAAAAATGGTTGCAGGCTTTTTGAGACGACTGGCAACAATTAAAAACTTCATCCCGATTGAAAGAGCCCGCCGCTCATTGTGGTATGATTTCAAGAAGAATATTATGAAGCGTTCAATATGCGAAAAGTGTGGATGTCGAAGAGAGAAAGAATGGTAAACACATATACCACATTTCAAACATTATTATGATCAATTTCAGTTGCGGCGATTTGGCGACTTTTCTTATGCTGCCTCTCACCGAACAAATTCGCGGGATTGTGGAGTCGTCCTTTGACGATATAATGGAAATTCGAAAGAAATTGAAGGAAAAAGCACCAAACTTCACACACAATCTTCAAGGAAGTTCTTTTTCCAGTTCATGGAAATACGAGGATGAAAATCATTGTGATCTGAGCATGGTGCTAAGTCTGGACGGCGTCAATCCCCGAGGACATTTCAGGTATTATTATTATTTGTTTATTAAAGATGTGCCATTTAGAGGAAGTTTGTGGCCAATTACTTTACAGTTAGTGGATTTGCCTACAATGAAGTCGCAACTTTCAATTAATCTTGTAGTCTGTGGAATGCTGCAATTAAAAGCTAATAATCCAACAACCCTTGTTTTGAATACCGTCACGGAAATTATAATGAATCGATTGGAAGGCGAAGGGTCAACATTTGTTGTAAACAATATTTTATTTTCTCCATACCTCGTGTCACTCGTTTCTGACCAACCAGTAAGGATTAAGTGATAAAAATTTCTATAGATTTCAGTTTAAGGCAAAAAGAAAAATTCTTGGAATGAGCGGTTTTTCAAGTCCACAAGCTTGTTTTTATTGCGACTCTCACGGAACTCTGCACAAACCACTACTTGGAAACGGTAATAATCAATAATAATTTTAAACCCTCTTATTCATCGCTTATATTGATTTAAGATCGACGATTGGACAGATTTGGGGATAAGACTCTAGAAGATAGTATTCGCGGTGTTAATGAATTTGGTCCTGTTGCGGCGAAAATGGTGCAATATGTCAAGCCGTACAATACAATCTATGTTCAAAGAAAAAATCTGCAATGTTCGAATGCGATGAAACCATGCTCGAAAACTTCGACAAACATCTACAATTGCCAATTGAAGGAGCCGATTTGACTCGATTGCTCACTAACGGAAGGCAAAAACTAGATGTATGTTTCAGATATAATGTTTTAGATTTTTCTTATAGTTATTCAGACTTCAAATTTTCTTGTTTGCTATCTGCAATTCAAGTTTAATACATACATATGTGAACAATGTTAAAAAAAAAATTAAGAAGCATTGTTCATTGGATTAGATATTGCTCCAACGACGGATCAAGCTACTTCAGTTGCTGTGCAAATCAAAGAGTCTGCGATTACTTTCATGTAGTTATGCGAATGTTTCACTAAATAACACCATGTACTTTTAGCGATCGCCTTCGTTCAAATTATAACGATCAGAAAGGATCTCACCACGCTAGCAAAGTTATGGCGCATAGTTTGGCTATCAAAATTGGAAAAGAGCACCAACTCAAAAAACTGAAGCCCGATGCCGCTGAATATTTCAATCAGCATTTTTCTATTTAATTGAAATTTGATATTTCTAATGTTAAACAATTTATTGTATTTTTCTTTTTTTTTATTTTGTTGTTTTCCGTTTACTGTTGTTTTTTCATAAAAACCATCCAGAAGAAAAATAGACGCAAAATAGATGAATAAGAGACAAGAAGTAGACAAAAATGGGTTAAAAAAAAGGATGAATCATGGATGAGAAATAGATAGAAAACTGATGAAAAATGCAAGAACGAGGGACAGAGACAAGACATAAAATGGATGAAAAATAGATGAATCCAAGATGCTAAATAGATAGAGAATGGCTGAGAAATAGATGAAGCGCTGATGAAAAATAGACTTGAAAATAGATCTGTTACAGATCCCTCTTTCATCCAAAGTCTGCACTATTTTTCAACTATTTTTTAACTATTTTTCGTCTGTTAGCGCAGTTGCAGTGTAAATTTTTTTATTTTAGCGATCACCCCACAAAAGGAATAAGCAAGAAAAAATGAAAATGTTAAAATGAAAATGTTAACATCATGGCTTTTGGTTTAAAAAAACGGTTTAAAGTCAGGGCAGGCTTAATGGCAAGGCGACACAATTAATGCTTTCGGAATTAAAACGCGGAAAGAATATTGACACATTTTAAATGATAAATGTGAGGTAAACAAGAATACTCAATTGAAAATGAATATTTTACGATGTGATCGAATTAATTTTCAATTTTTCTACAAAATCTGCATAGTACTCTTAGATTTTCGAGTATAATTTGAATTCATTCTAACGAAACTTCCTATCAAACTGAACTATCGGTGGATGGAAGATGAAGCTCGAATTGTGCGACGAATCCCTTCGCGATATAATGAGAAATTGTTTCAGCTTGTTCTCGTGCTCATCATACTACACCAAAGTCGACGGGTCTCTCGACGCATTCTTGAGCCTTGTGAAGCGCCGCCGCGAGTTTGACGCCATCGAGAGATGGAGTTCGCCAAAAACGGACATCATCCAGAAGAAGGTTGTCGCGTTGATCCGTTCGGTATTCTAGTCATTACATTATCTCAACGAGAATGCCTAATAATCATCATCATCATCCCATGGCAACTAAAATAAGAAACAAATATCGCTGTATTTGTTGTACATACAGGAAACACACACACGATTTACGCGCATACGGTTATCCCACCTCCCCTAGCAGGAAACATTATCGAATTCTACACCTCTTTGTTTCCTATTGGTTATTTTGCTGAATAAAGTATTTATTTTCCCTTCTGTTTGGATAGGAACAACGGTGATTCGAATGAGGGAGAGAGAGAGACAGACGGAGAACATTGGAATGAATTAAGAATCGTAGGCGACTCTGACGAGACGATAATAAGCGACGTCTTCGGGTTCACCGCTAGCGATGTTTGCTACAGATGAGCGGCCGAAACGAAGGAAATCCTGAAATGTTCACCATTTTTTTTTGTATTGTCGTTCGACAAACTCGATAGTTAATTGAAGGAAACTGTGTGTGGAAACTCGCGATTTTCGTTTCTCGGCTTTCAGTTTTTTTTTAGATTCTCTGGCGACTCAAAAATAAATTGAAGCTTGCATGAGGTTTTATTAGCTAATTGAAATCATACTAATGGTGAAAACACTAATAACATTTTTTTCTTGCTAGTATTTTCAATCTGCCTCGTTTCCAAAATTTTTTTCTGCGAAATCTGCATAGAACCATAATATCAAGTCTTGCTGATGAAGAAAACCCGCGAAACTCGATGTGCCGAAATGCCATTCCGATTTCGTTGAAGTTTTTCGAGAATCCATACACTTTTCGAGATGAAATTTGAATGGCAATGTTTTGAAATTGGTTTAGATTCAATTCCGTGAAAGTTGCCTCGAAAATCGCACATTTCGGCGCGGCTGATAGCGCAAATCGCCATGCGCCAATAATGCCGATTTCACCGCGATCGCGTTCGACGCTGCCGTCGTCTCGTCAAGAGCACAGATTTTGTCGATGAAGCACTCGCGGTTGCGCGAGAACATGCATGGCACCGCTAGTTGAACGACGCGACACGACGGCGACGACTAGAATAGACTATTCTGATTTATCATTGTCGGGTCAAAAGCTGCATTCTAATGTTTAAGACGTCAAGTGATCGCATTTTTGGACTTCCGCTGACGGACGTGCTAGTTTTTTTTTTTTAGTTTTTCTTTTTCTTTTGAGTTTGCTCACAAAACTCAATTTGAATTCATGGTCTCGATTCAAAAATCTTTGAAATCGATTGATCGGCCCATCGAAATCAGCTCCGACTTTTGAACTACTTCAACGGATTTTTCCGAAGTTTGATGAAACCGGACTATCGAGAATACACAATATTCGAAAAGTGTGCATTTGCGCGCGCGGTGTTTTCAGACGTTGTTCTCTCAGGAATTTAATATTTCCGGTACCACGGGATCCCGGGTAGTTGCGGGACAAGACCGGGACGAGACACGGGAAGCGAAAATCCACATCGCGTTAGCGTAGGCTCATTTAATATTCAGTCAATGCTAAGTTTGAATCCACAGATGAGCCTACATTCAGTCATTTGAAACCGACAACACACAAAAAAGAAACCTCTATTAATTACTTTTCTAGGGGATGATAACTTCAAAAATTTTTAAAAACTAGGTCGGGGTTCGTGCACATTTTTTCACTATGGTCCTGCACGGACTAACTTGTCATTTTACCTTTCAGAAGTCATTTCGTTAATTTTTAAATTTTAGTGATATTAAGAATTCAAGGAAATTGAATAGTCATCTAGAAATATTCAAAAAATAAACCTTCTCGTGTGGCATGATCATTTCGAAAAACGCACGCGTAAATCTAGCCGCAACACATACATTCATCAATTTCTGATTTTTCACCTCAAATGCGTAATCAGTTAGGTATTCTGGGGTTTTTTTTTTGAATAATCGTATACGATTGCAGAATGACGTTTCAAAATCCTACGATTTTGAAATGTTTTATTTAAATCGTGTACGATTTTGATATTTCTCTAAAAATCGTATACGATGAAATGCGAATCGTTATCTCGTACCTGCGCCGGCGAGCCAATCTTGTTGATTGGAAGCGAGCGACCATGTCTCATGAGAGCCCCTCGAAGAGCTACAGTCGTTCCCATGGTGAGCGCGATAACTGAACGGATGTGTGGAGTGTGGCTAACTGAACGCTTACCGATAAGAAGGACGGTGATGCGGAGCATGATTATCCGACGAGATGCTCAGCCGCGAACCTGGTCCGCTTTTATACAGCTCTTTGCAGAGGCAATTTATCGTCGTCGAATTTAATTTCAGGCATGTCATTTCGGCGCAAACCATCGTTTCAATCCGTCTATTGCCAATGATATTTCCGTCTCACCAAAAAATATCGATGTCCAAATTGAATTTGTGCGTGAAATATTGCATGACGGATGCCGTCATTGGTTCCGATAGTTCTTCGACAATTGCGCAAGATCCACTAATCTGGCGGAACCTTAAAATGAGTCACAATCGATTTCACGAATTATCAAGCATCAATAAAATCGAAAGTCGAACAACAATTTGCAGGGAACCAGTTTTTCGAATTTCGATAAAAAAAAATCGCTGAAAACATTTCAATTCCGTTTTTTCAGTAAATACAAGAATCTTTAAACACTCAGATTGCTCTTTTTTTTGACGATGATATAGTCTTCTTCTGAACTGCGTTTCTCCGCAATTTCATAAAAATTTTCATTTATTTGAATATCAAAAAATTTTTTTAATGGAAGAGATTTAAAAAAAAACGCCAATATTGTTTGGGGGAAATCGGATTTATTTGATGCTGTAATTCAAGACGTATAGAGTGTTTCGAGTCGAGTCACGAAAACATCAAGAAAAAATTTTGTGTCTGAAAATGCGTATTAGCTACTCAAAATAAAAAATAATTCCTAAAAACAATGCGGTTTTTTTTTTTCAGGAAAAAAACAATGAAATTGGACTTCTGGGAGAACGCCAATAAAGCAAATATAAAGAATTTTGACATTCTAGATGAAAACGTTAAAACGTATCCGAATCGGCCGCGTCCAATTGCCAGTGAGTTAAAAACGAGCTTCCTCCGCCGATTGACGGTGAGTTTGATTCGCATGTTATCCAGAGTACGGTAGCCGAATTCCCACTGTTTTAATTCGAATTTGAATTGCCGCCTCGAAAAAGTGCGATGGTCCACAATTATGCAAGGTGCTCGCTTTTTTGCTCTGAAAAATACAAATCACCACAATTGCCGAAGATGCTCACCTTCTTTGCGAATGTAGCGAATGTACTTTGATTAATTTGAACAAAATTCATACACGTAATAATTCCGAATGAAATGACAGCAGCATTATCAAAAGTTCACATTTTCATATTTTCGATTTCAGAAAAAGAAATTCAAAATTTTTAATCCGCTAAACGAATTGAAATTGTTGATCGAAAATGTCAATCTCGATCGAAAAAACTGTAATATTGATGATGGTGTTAGAATCGACAGAGTTTGAAGAGGGTAAAAAGGCCCATTGCCATCAACCCCCAATTTTCAACCCCTACCCCCAATATTCCACCCCCAGATTTTAGACCCCATTTTTATTTTTTTATTACTGGTCAATGTTAATTGACTCAAATTTTTGACTTGAGTACTTAACTATTGTACAAAAATTTAAGCCTATTTGGCTGCCACTATTGTTTTTAGGTATTTGATTTGCGCAAGGCTTGCAAAGAAGCTTGATACAGAATTGCACAATTGGATACTTGAAATATTGGAAATTGTGGGAATAGATTCACGCTTACGAAGTCTATCTGAACCCCGAATCTGAACCTGAAGTCTATCTGAACCTGCTCTTCCGTGAATAGTTCATTACTTGTAAAAATTTTCTTTCATAAGGATAGTCTACATAGTTTCAGAAAAATCAAAGTTAGCCAATTACTGTTAGAAACTGTAAATTTTGACCTTCGAGCAGAACAGAACATTTGGGGAAACAGATTTAGCATCATTTTCTGAAACAATGGGCACTTAGGATCATTTTCTGGAATTTTAAAAACTTTCGAATTCGGACCCCTTAAGACCCCCTCCCCCATATAACACTGACAATTTCTTGGAAAATTTACGGTTAAAAATAAATAAATTTGAGATGGTATCAAATCTATCAACAATCTACCGTTGTTTTGATATCTCTCCGATAGTAATGCTATCTCCCATGAGATTATTACTTAAAACTTGATTTCTACAGAGTGAATAAAGTGTTTTGTCAAGGATGGACGATTTTGGAAAGTGGGTGGTGTGCTTTACTATAAATTTTAGCGACATGGCCATGCGATTATGTTTGTTTTGATTTAGTCTTCCCTGCAGTGGAAACTTCAGCAGATGTCAAAGTGGCATACAAAAACATCTTCATAACGCGCTAAGATCAACAATGATCCATTTTGATAATTGAAGCTTTTGACATTCATCGAAAGAATTTTTGAAAAGTAAAGCCAAAAATCACGAGCCAGAATTCATGAGCCAAAATTCGAGAGCCAAAGAATATAGTGAGTACGAGCCACTTTTTGCGAGCCAAAAATCACGAGCCAAGCCACTTTTCACGAGCCACTACTAATTGGCCTACTGTAAGCGGCAGAGTTGACGCAAAGTTGCGGCTCCGTATTTATGGCGCACCCTGTATTTTCATGTCTTGATGAGTATTGTAAATTGAAAACTATAGATGAACAGTACTTGAACATTTTGAGATATTAAATCTATTATAAAAACATACTGGACATTCCTGAGGCGTTCGTTCTTTGTGAGGATCACGTTTAGTTTTACCAGATGATTAGGTATTATCCCATAATGACCAGTAGAAGTCGAAAGCTGGTTTGTGAAAAGCCCATGCACCATAATAAATTTTTTCATTAGATTGCACTTCGACACCGAGAAGGTAGTTCCAGCCTCTTTGGCAATCGCTGAAAATTCGCATGTTATTCTGCAGACCAGAAGCCGATGAGGTAGCTCCGGTTCCATGAAGACATCTTTTGGCATCAGCTAAACTTCTCCTGTTAAGCATTAAAAAACTGGGCCCGTGACCGCCTTCCATTCGGACAATCCTGTACATACTGAGACAGGTCGAACAGTAACAGTTATTTCGCATAGTTTGCATGTTTTGACGTTCAATTAAATGCGGATGTTCCGCAACAACTTTCGAATTTTTTTTAAACATAACATTTTAAACAAAATTCAGGGAACATCATTAGGAATAGAAATCTTACAATAAAGTCTGCAATCTGTGCTTGCGGAAAAACAATCATAGAAAAGTTCACAAGTCTAGAAATGTAAAATTGGTTTATTTCATTTGTGTTACACGTGAATGACAATTCATTGGAGATCGTTGGCCGAAAGAAGCCGATGTTAATTGGTGGCTGAAAAACTGGCCCTCTTCCTTGATACAGTCACTACTCTTCCATTTGAATATGTTATTGACTTTGTCCACTTGATCGGCGTAGCTGCATTTTCCAAGACTCAAATTTGGATGGCCATTGTCCCAATTCGTGTAGGAACTATCCTATAGCAAATTATGTCAAATTGGGAAATGATTTGGGACTGGCAGACGACGAGAGTGACTCTTTTGAAATATGTCTGATTAGCCAGAAAGGCAGAAGAAGTCTTCATTTTGATAATTGAGCAATCAGTTGGAGGAAATGTAAGCTAGGAATTTGCGAAGAATGATTTCCACTAGCCATATTGGCATGCGAAAGATTGACAAACTGCAAAAAAGAATGAGGCCCAATAAGGAGTTGCCCTAAGGAGTTACCCTGTGATATTTGGTTAATGAATATACAGGTTGAAGTGAACCGATTCCGGGTCGTCACTGGACGGTCATTTTGCCCAAATTGTCGTTTTGCATAATTTTCAACAATTTCAGGGCAATTTTCTCTGAAATTGCTCCTGTTCTATATATATGTCATTTTTGAAAAAGTGACTTTTTTGGCTGGACGGTCATTTACCCATTTTGCCCACTTTCAATTTTTCACTTGTATTTATTGTTTTTACTGCTATTAAATGATCTTTTCAGAATATCTTAAACCTCTGACAAACTATGACCTTCTAGAACTCGTTAAATTATTAAAAATCAAGAATTTCCGGGGAGTCTTTATGAGAGATACTTTACCTTCTAATTGTAAGATTAAAGAAGTTGAATTTTCAACCAGACGAAGTCGCTGGCGAGACTTCGTTATGAACTTTTCTCGGTAAAATTCGACGGAGTCGATCGCAAGGATTACACAGCCCTTGTCAAACGTCGGTTTGCCGCCGCTCAATGGAATCAGCTTTCGCAGGACCAAGCTGAATGCCTGCTATGGATCATCGGACTCCATGCCTCAGAACACCTGGATTTGCGAATTCGGGCACTTCGCGAACTCGAACTGAATCCGGAATTGAAACTAACTTCCTCAAATTAGTTCAGTGGAGAGTGATAAACATTCTCCAATGAAGAATCAGAAAATAGATTCAATAGTTGTTAGTAATTTGATAGCTTCTTATTTGCAATACAACTCAGATAAAAGCTTTGCAGAATATTCTATAAGATTTGATAAAGCGAGTAACAAGTATTCAATAGGAAACCATGAAATTCTTTTCAATAATAATTTCATAAACATGGGTGGAATAGGGTATAATGCTACTCCTGGTTTAATGGAATTATTAACTAACAAAGGAGGTCATTTTAATTTCCAATCGAATGAACTAGGTCTCTACCTGCGCAAACTTCTAGTTATCGAGATATGGACCTTCAAAGTTTTAGCCCCTCCCCACGTGAATTTTGCACACAAATGTGCGGAAACTCGAAATGAAATAACGTGATCTTATATCGCGCTTTTATCCTGACACAGCAATTGCTGTACAGGTAAAACGCTGTGATCCAGAGTTGAGTCTTCCGTGACTCAGTCAGCGTAAAAATCCGGGTACAAAACGTGACCAAAATGTGACTCAATTATAATCATTTTTGACACTCGGTGTTCAATTTAAGATTATTCTGTGATCCAAAGTTGAGTCTTCCGTGACTCAGTTGGCGTAAAAATCCGGGTACAAAACGTGATCGAACGGTGACTCTACTATGATCATTTTGGAGATTCAGTGTTTGGATGTAAGAGAACGTTGTAATATATATATTTATTTAGTTACGCAAAGAAACAAGTTACCAAGCATAAAATCGTAAAAGTTACAAACGAAACGGATTTTGTGATCCGAGATTCTGGCTCTCGTTGACTGTCGAGATGCTGAATGTTGACACATTTGACGGCGATTCGGTATTCTGGTGGTCGTCGATCTGTGCCTTTCTAGAGCAACAGTTTTGACATATAATAAGAATTGTCCAACTACCTGTGCTTCGTCAACTTCTTCAGCAACTTTTCAGCTTTGTCTTTGTTTTCCCATCGTTTGCGATGACTAAAAGTTCAAAAATTTTAGTTCTGAAAGAAATTCTTACATTTGTTTTTTTATTGCTGATTTCACTCTGGCGAGAAGTGTTATTTCGGCGAAGACGTTGGTCGCGACACGAAATCCAACTTTAAGATATTGTTAAGAGCACTTTAATTTAATTTTAACTTCATTTTTTTTTTTAATTTCATACCAGTGATATTTTCGATGACCTCTTCATCGATAGGCGCAAATTTCGTGTTTTTCAGCGAACTCGGCAGGCAATATACTACATAATATTTGTCTCTCTCGCGATCTACAAATATTTTTCATCAAAAGATTTTAAAATATATCTCTCAACCCCTTTTAAAGCAATTAGTTAATGTTCACCTTGCTACCAATGCATCTCGCCGCGGTTTCTATAGTGATCTCCCACGATTTTCCTACCCAGCTTGCACAGTCTGCCATTGACACCAATTCGGCCAACTTGAACTGCTTTCTGCTTAAAAAAAAAACTTTAGGCTAAATTATAAGAAAAAGTATGCTTACCACGATCTTGATAGATTGACCTCCTTTCCACATTTATTACAATAATACTTCACATTGAATTTCGAAATGTCATTTTTCCACAGTTTCATGACTTCGCTTCGAAATGTAGGATCCTCCTGAGTCGATAGATACATTTTGTTTCTAATCTCTTGTATACTGGTATCAGTAAAGTGATCGTAGCAGCCAGCAGCGACAAATGCTAAAACTTTATCCGAAACCTTGGAAACATACTGTGAAAGCTCTGTTAAATTACATATTGTCTATACGGTTTCCGATTCAGTTTCCATTAGTTCTTCACTATTTCCCTCGTCGCTAGATGTTTCTTCGCTGTTAACTTCTAGTACCGGATAAACAACTTCCTCATCATCATTTTCGTCGGTAGATCTTCTTTGAAGTTCTTCACGATTGTACTCTAAATGATTTTCCGTATTCCGTTGTTCGGGTCGTTGTTCACCTAGAATTTTGCTTTATATTAAGGTCTAAATGTTTAAACTAAACCTGGGGCACCCAATTTGGGAAAAATTTCAAGTTAGAGCGGCCCATCGTTAATTCTTTTATATTTTCTTGAAAATATCAGTAAAGAGTTAAATGAGATAGTGAATAATCTCGAAGTGTTTTAATTCTTTTATATGACTTATTTCCTATAGGTGGCATGACCTGATGACCTATTTCCTTTTTTTGGTAACTTTATGAGTAAACATGTATATATACATTTTTTTTTTTCGGGACACTTACTGTTCAAAACATCCGGGATTATTGCATTTTCTTCCACCAAAGTATGAACTACAGTTTGTGCAAACATCGTATTTCTCGTAGTCGACTTTTGACAGATTCTTTGCTTTATTTTCCACTTCCGAACACTGAAGATTTTTAGGCTAAAATTTTTCGAACTAAAATTCTAAGCTTTACAATTTGAATTTGAAATGTTTAAAAACCTGTCATTAAAAATTTTAGTTATATTTATAATTTTTAGTTTCACATTGCTTATAATTGCATTGATTGATTATAATTAAATTCTGTGTTAAAACTTGCACATATCATTAAACATTCTTTTAATAACAAGAAAATTGCCGCCGTTTTTATTAATATTTTCATTTATTGACTTTTTCATTGTCTTATTCAGAACCTCATTCGTTTTTAAGCATTAAAATACCACAAAATTATTGAAGAAGTAATTTTCAGAGTTCAATTTGACACGGTTTAGGTGATTGCGTTTGGGTAAAAATGACAAATTTGCCAATTTTGCATTCATCGACTTACCATGATGTCCTGATGCATTCGAAGAGTATCCACAATTCGATACAATTCTCTTCTTTTTCTCTCCGATAGTCCGAGCTTGATGATCATGGCAGTCACCGCATATAAAGCCTCCGTTCTTTTTTTTGATGGATCCATTTTCACACAATTTGACGTCGGAACATATTGATTATTGCCTATTACATAACTATTTCTCAATTTTGTTGAATTTATCATTACTCATTTCGTCAACGTTTTCATGACTTTCGACACTGGATAAAATTTGTGACTCTGTTTGCGTCGTTTCCATTTCTAAAATATAATTTGCATCTATGCCAGTTTCTTCTCGTTATCTGATACGTCTATTTTCACCATTATGAAATTCATTCATCATTGTCTTTTTGGCACTATCAGCATTTCTATACGCGTTTCGTCTGTTCGCTAGTTCCATGAAATCCTTTTCAATCTCATCAGTTGAGTTTTCGAAGATTCTCTTCATCTGGCTAAACTTTAAAATCCAATTATAACAACAACAAAACAAAATCGTAAGTAACATTTATTCAGAAAAACACCACATTTCTTACGCCTTAGCGATTACTTCACTGACGTTTTCTTTTAATTTCTCGGCTTCAGTTCGGATATGCGTCGGCGCCAGATTGGGCAATGTTGTCCAAACTGGAGTCGTTAGTTAACTGTAGTGAATGTCTGGCTCCCGTTCGGGTGCTCACGCCCGAACTGCAGTCAACCGCTAAAAACCCCTGCTCCCAATTGGATGCAAATTGGCTGCAGTTCGGAAGTTGAAATAATCCTCTCCAGTTCGGAAGTCCGCCTGCCACCGATTGAACGCTATCGCCCGAACTGTACCAGTGGGAACCTATCGAGCCCAGTTCGGGAGTGTGTCGGCGACCAATCGAGCGCTATCGTCCGAACTATTTCATGTTTGTTTCATTGTTGAACATATCAGTTCGTCCACTTATTCGGGGGTCTTTGTTCACTGTACCAGATGTTTAGTACTGATAATTCTCGTTGCTTGTCTAAACTGAATTTTACCTTGAATTCATAGTATTTTTATTACGGTTAGTATTTTTACCCAACCATTAGTAATCAAATGATCATTTTATCAAAAATAAACAAATATCAATCAAATGTGTAATGTTGTAACTGCAGCTCTGCTTGGTGGTCGTCTTCGAAAATAATTCATCCTCCACATATTGACACAAAACTGTCATGCCGGTCCTGTTTCGTTCAAACATAATATTTCCACTTCTATAATGGTTTCGGTGTCAAATAAGCTACCAGTAGGCGAGTCATGTTCAAATTTGGTGTTAATATGCGTATAGATGATATACGTAAATGTGTTTCGTCAAGCTAAATCATTTTGAACGGAACTTGCTTGGTAAAACCCTAATTTGCCGTGTCCGAATCCGTTTTCTGGCCACCTGATGAACCGATTAGCTTCAAATTTAGAACTAGAGTGGGATTGGATCTCAGACGATTATGGGTCATGATCATGGAGATGGGTCACAGTTGACACTCAGCGTATTGTAAAACGCCGAGCCTCAAATGTGATCATGATCATGAGGATGGGTCACAGTTGACACTTAGCGTATTGTAAATACGCCGAACTTCAAATGTGATCCAAAGATGGGTCACAATTCACGCTCAGCGTACGGTCTGTCACAGTTGGTACATGTTTGACATTCGGCGTTTTACCAGCAATTGCTGTATCAGGATAAAAGCGCGAGATAAGACATCACGTTATTTCATTTCGAGTTTCCGCACATTTGTGTGCAAAATTCACGTGGGGAGGGGCTAAAACTTTGAAGGTCCATATCTCGATAACTAGAAGTTTGCGCAGGTAGAGACCTAGTTCATTCGATTGGAAATTTTCTAACGAATCTGTATGCAAAAAATAAAAAAATTTTAAGACGGACAGCAAAATGACCTCCCTTGTAAGAAATATCCAGATTTAAGTAAAATACAAGATCATGATAAAACATCTTACAAGGAAATTTTGATATCATCAGATGCTTTGTATCAAGGATTTGATCGAAGTGTAAAGAGATATAATGCCGATGCTAGTAATAAATGGAAATTCATAAAACATAATTATTTTGTTACTAAGAGTCCAGCTACTAATATTAGTGTCGCGAAAACTCAAGATTCTCAAAGAAGTAGTATTGTCGCTGAATTCTTACCAAATCCAAAGAATTCTGAAAAAATCATAGATTTTTTGCCATCAGAAATTAATGCTCTTATGCATTCATTAAGATTATCAATATCTAGTTATCAAGCTGGAAATAATGCTGAATATAACAAGATTCACTCGATATTAGATGAATTACTTCGAAGAAAGAAGATAAAAAAGAAAGATTTACCTTGTATTTATATGAATATTGGATTCTTAATCCCTTACCAAATGTTATCGGTCTTTAGACCAAAGCATTTTTCAAATGAATATCGGTCTTTAGAGCGTATTTTAAAAAAATTATTTAGCAGGTTTTTCGCTTCTGAAGAAAGCTTGCTGACGCTGAATAATATTATTCTCTGATCCATTTCCTTTTTTGACATATGCTATTGAAACACTTGAAAATTCTCCTGGAACTCCTACTCTTTTATACTTTTCTCCATATTGCTTATCTTCTAACTCCAAATCATTTAGAAAATCAAGACATTCTTTATTTGATAAGGTCTTTTTAGTTTTTAAATTAATTGCTAAATCAATAGTAGGAATTTCTACACTCTGGGATTTCAGTTTTTCGTTTTATTACTTTCTGAGTTCATTATGCTCATCTCTTTCTTTCTGAAAGTCGTGATGTAATTGTTTAATCAAAAGTTGTTTCTTTTTACTAGAAATCTTTGAAACAGTGATTATAATACTTTTACATTCACTTTCACACTTCTTAATTAAAAATTCAGTAAATGCATATTTGTAGGCTGCTTTATCAACATCAGATATTTTAGAACTTTCTACACTGGTTATCATATTTTCAATAGCATCTAAATAGTTCTGAGCAGTTTCTCTAGTATTTTCATTTTTCGTATACATACTTATTTCTGTCAAGTCTACATTTGATGATCCATTAATTTTTTGTACATCTTTTATAAATCTGGATAGTATCAACTCTGTCATTTATTACAGTAAAAAATTCGAAGTAATAAAGTAAAGTAGTATTGTAATAAGGTATGGCAATATTTTCTGAATCTACCATCATCAATGTCTGATGGATCTATTCAGTGAATGTAAATTAAACAAAAACGACAAATTTTCATTATGCAGCGATGTCGTTTTTGTCGCAATAAGCGCTTAATTTTACTGAGGGGTACTGTAGATCGCGGGTCGATATTTCAAAAAAATTGGCACATGCTCCTTGAATATCGATTTTTTTAAAATATTTTTTATATTAAAATTTTCGTATTTTCACTCGTTTTTCGCGGATTTTTTTAAATAATTTAAACTTTTTTTTGAGTAACACTTGGTGATATTCATAAAAACTACTAATTTGTGCATATATTTCCTTTTTGAAGCATGTCATTCGCTGAGTATGAAGGAAACGACTCTTTGGTCGAAGACGTGGTGGAGGCACATGGGCCAAGAAATTTGCCAATTGCTGAACAGCGTGAAGAAGCTAAGCGCACGAGAAGGAGAAAGCCACTTGTAGATGACGGATATGAAGCGGTGAGTATTTAAAAATGAATTGTTGGATTTTATAAATTAATTAAATTTTTTTAGTTTCCACAACACTTTATTGTGGACTTCATCAAGACCGTTGAGCAGTACCCAAGTATTTGGGACTCATCTATTAAAGAATACCACAGGAGAGAATTGAAGCTTAAGGTCTTTCAGAATATCGAAAGCATGTGCAAGAAATTTCTCCGCGCCGGAAGACCAAATGGTATTTTCAAAACCACTATCGGTAAAATTGAAGTTTTAGGTATGACGGCTTGGAAATTGTGGGATTCGATAACGCGCGATTTCAATAGACATGTGTTGCGAATCCAAAATGCTCGATCTGGAACTGGAACATTGGAATCATCATTTCCGTTTGCGGAATATTTACAGTTTTTGGATGGAGTCAGACACAAAAGACTAGTTAAAAAGTAAGTTTACCTGTTTTTTGTTATTTTTTTTTTACTACAGTGCCTTCATATGCGGTGATAAAAGTATTGAGTTGCTTGAATCGCGGGGACCCTCGGATAGTCCGAAGACTGCTAAACGAAGAAAATCAGGTTTCTAGCAATAAAAAATGGAGTTTTATGGGTATGTTTTAGACAGCGATGAGCTGATGAGTATGTTGCGCGAGACGAACAGCGAAATCAAGCAGCTGCTTAGATCGAATGATGAGGAAGCCAAGGAAACCCCCAAATGTAAATTTGACCGATTGTGCAGGGTCATGGCCAGCCACGTTGCGGATTGGCCTGAATTGGATCAAATTCAAGCCGAAGCGAAAGCGATCGCTTTCATCATGGATCTCCAACCGACGGGCAAAAGAAATGAGCAGACGACTTCTCTCAGTTTGTTGGACGAAAATTATTTTTAAGTATTTTTTTATTATATTAACAATTAAATTTAAAAAGATAAACATTAAACATGATAAAGAAGATAATTTTTTAATGCCGTTCTTTGATCTTCGGCATCGCTGTATGGGTCTTGAAGTAAGGGAAAGTTGTGGTCAGGTGGAAGATCGGGAGGAGCACCTAGTGATATGTTATGTACAACTGAAAGTGCTACAATGAGGGCGCGCGAAGAAGACGGGTCCATATTAAGGGCTTTTTTGAAAATCTGGAATTTCGACTGCATCACACCAAAAAAATTTTCAATTTTCACCCTAGTTGCAGACATAATCTCGTTAAAACGCATGTTTTCTGGAGTCAAGGAAAGCTGCCTATAGGGTTGCATAAGAAACTTAGATAGTCCAAATCCGTTATCAGCAATTATAAATGGAGGCATTATAATGGATGAATTCGGAAGCGGGCGATATCCACCTATTGTGGCTTCATTTTCGAGGAGTGCTCCCAAAGGCCCATCTCTGAACATTTGGGAGTCCGAATTTACTCCAAGCTCAGAGATTTGCAAATATATAACGCGCAAGTTTGCATCACAACAAAAAAGAGAATTAAATGAATAAAACGACTTATAATTATAATTTAACGATCCT